AACTCCTTGCCCTCTCTCATTTCCTCCAAACCGCATTCTCATTGATTACCGACAACTCTAATAAGCAAAAGGTCCTTCTCCATAATATATGTTTGCATAAAGAATATGATAAAGTCTAAGTGTTGGGGGGCACATGCAGGGAATGAGATGGGCAGGGAACAAACTAGGAGCAAAATTCCCACTGCATGTCTTACATAATTTTGATTTTTGAGCCAAATAGTTTTTCCCCCCTTTACTAAATCATCTTTCCTGTGTGATTGCAGTATTTAGCATTTTTTGACAACCTCTTCCTCCTACTTTGAAACTAAACTGTCTTGCCCTGGCCGGGTAGCTCAGTAGGTTAGATCATCATCCCAATATGCCAAAGTTTCGGGTTCAATCTCTGGCCAGGGCACACACAAGAAGCAATCAATAAGCCTGGCTGGCATTGACCTAGGAGGTCACGGTTCAATTCTCGGTCAGGGCACATGCCCAGGTTGTGGGCAAGATCCCCAGTGGAGGTGTGCAGGAGGCAGCTGATCAAAGAGTCTCTCATCATTGATGTTTCTATCTCTCCCTCTCTGAAATCAATAAAAAAAATATATTTAAAAAAAAAGCAACCAATGAATGCATAAATAAGTGGAACAACAAATAGATGTTTCTCTCCCTTCCTTTCTCTCTCTCAAAATCAATAAAAAACAAACAAAAACCTCCACAAACCCTAAACTGTATTATTCTACTCTCTGACTACTCTTTTTTTGATGACCCTTCCTTCTCTCACTCCTGGAAAGGAAAGTAGTGGGAGTTTCCTCAAGGTTTAACCCACTTTTCCTCCCCTTGGAGACAGCTTGCATGTCTGCCAGGCTTACCTTCTGAGTCTGCAGCCTCTCCAGAGTTTTGTTCTTGATCTCCAAAGGTCACCTAGACACTCCCGGCTGGTTGTCACTGTTACCAAGAGCAACATCTCTAAATTTACTTTTGCATCTCTTATGCCCTCAATAACAGATCTGATTTTTTTCTTTTATACCTATCCTTGTTTTTCAGGCTTTACAAATACCTAATTTCTTAAACAAATTCTTAATGTAGCATCCAGTTACCCATTAGGATCATTCATTCCACGATAGTGCATACTGTGTGCCAGGCATTGTACGAGGCAGTGGGATACGACGCTCAGCTGATGAGGTTGGAGAGGTCAAAGGTGGGAAGAGAGGGAGGGAGGTACATTTGGAGCAGATGGTAGCCAGACCATGAGAACCTTGGAAATAAGGATATTTGGTGGTTGTATTCTAAGCAATGGAAAGCCACTAAAAAGCCGTAGGCCGGAGGATGACTTCAGCAGATTTGCTTTGAAAAATATCGTCCCAGCTATTATGTATAGAATGGAGTGTGGGAAGGGGAACTGGCATGAACGCCAAGTGAGAAGTCAGTTGGGCTAATGCAGTAGACTAGATAAGAAAGACCCAGGGGTGTAGGCGATCTAGCTTGCACAAAGGAACTGGCAGGGGAAATTAAGAACAGAGATGAAAGAGGTACCATCAGTCCAGCTTGATGATGAGTTAGTTATGGAGAGTGAGGGGGTGGAGTCAAGGATGCTCCTCCGTTTCTAGGTTTTATCATTGAATAGATGGTAATGCCATTTGCCATGGGGTGGGAGGAGGGGCAAACGGGCAGGATGGACTTGAGTTTGCAGTGCCATTAAGATATCCAGTTGTTTTTGCCCGGCCACAGTGGCTCAGTGGTTGAGCATTCACCCATGAACCAAGAGATCATGGTTCAATTCCCAGACAGGGCACATGCCCGGGTTGTGAACTTGATCCCCAATAAGGGGGAGTGCAGGAGGCAGCTGATGGATGATTCTCTCTCATCATTGATGTTTCTCTCTCTCCCTCTCTCTGAAATGAATAAAAATATATTAAAAAAATAAAATGAATAGAACCCAAGGTATCCTTGTGGCAGTGGCAGGAGGAAAAACAAACAAGCAAAAAAATATTCAGATGTTTTGAAATGTTGAGTAGACAATTATATATACAGGTGTGGAGCTCAATGGTAAGAGTTGGAAATACAAATTTAGCAGTCATTAGCATATAGATAAGGGTTTTAGGTTTTAGAGCTGGTGAGCAACACAGAAGAGAATTGTCTTTTTTGGTCCTGACATTCCAGTGAGGAAGATAATAAAGAATAAGCAAGCCCGGCTGGTGTGGCTCAGTGGTTGAGTGTCGACCTATGAACCAAGAGGTCATGGTTCTATTCCTGGTCAGGGCACATGCCCAGGTTGCAGTCTCAATCCCCAGTGGGGCTCATGAGCCAATCCATTCTCTCTCATCATTGATGTTTCTATTTCTCTCTCCCTCTCCCTTCCTCTCTGAAATAAATAAAAATATATTTTAAAAAAACATACCAATAAGCAAGATAATTTTAGAAAGTGGTAAGTTCTATGAAGAAAATATACAGGCCAAGAGCATGGAATAGTTTAGGGTATGGATGGGGGAGGTGACAACCATTTTTGATAGGATATTCAAGTAAGACCTCACATTTCATCAGTGACTAGACAAAGATGCAGAGGAAAGAGCATTCCAAGCAATGGAAAAATAAATATAATGGCTTGAGGGAGACATGAGCTTGGTGGGATTAAGAAAAAGGAAGGCTAATCGGGCTACTGTAAGACTGAGATCAGGAGTCAGAGGGGATGAGAGGGCATGTGGGATTTGTGAGGGGTTTATGGATAATGGTAGAGTTTGGATTTTAATTGTAAGGAGAAACCATTGGAGGATAGTGACATGAACAGAGAATAGTCTGGGGTGGGGTTAAGGGGAAGATGGTAGACTGCTAGGAAGCTACTGCAGTGGTCCAGGGGAGCCTATAGGGTGATTGGACCCACACTTTGGTTGTGGTGAGGTGTGAGATGTGGACATATGTTCAGTATGGAACTGACAGGACTCTGTGATGGACTAAATCAGGGATGTGAAGAAGCTATGGATTTGGACAGTTGGGTGAACAGTGGTGTCATTTACTAAGATGGAAAAGATTGGGGAAGTAGATCTGACAGGGAAAGTGGAGGGACTTTTCCATTAGACTTAGAAGTAGATAAGCAGTTAGTTAGGTAGACAGGAGATCAGAAAGGCCAGGGTTGGAGATACAATTTAGGCAGGAAGGAGACATGTGTTGTATTTAAAAACACCAGGCTGACTGAACTCATCTGGGGAAGAGGGGGCGCAACGTGAACAGAAAACAGAATTCAGGCCTGAGCCCAGGGACACTTCAAAATTTAGAGCTCAGAGGAAAAAGGAGCAAGAAAGCAGGCCAGTGAGGTGGATGACACTGCCTAGACCAGTGATGGCGAACCTTTTGAGCTCGGCGTGTCAGCATTTTGAAAAACCCTAACTTAACTCTGGTGCTGTGTCACATATAGAAATTTTTTGATATTTGCAACCATAGTAAAACAAAGATTTATATTTTTGATATTTATTTTATATATTTAAATGCCATTTAACAAAGAAAAATCAACCAAAAAAATGAGTTCGCGTGTCACCTCTGACACGCGTGTCATAGGTTCACCATCACTGGCCTAGGATTTTAGCATCAACAAAGGAGGGCCTGGGTGCGAACACTGATGAAACCCAGTATTTCATGACCAGATAGAAGCGTATGTAAGGGATGCAGGAAATAAAGGAACATGTTAGAGAATGAAAGGAAAACCAGGAGTTGTGGTATCAAGAGGCAAATGGTCATGTCCACTGGACTGGGGAGGTTGTCAGTGACAGCAGAGACAGCTCTTCTAGGGGGATGACAGGCAGAAAACAGATTGGGAAGAGACTCAGGAGGGAGGGGAGAACATTTTTCCAGGGGAAAAATGGGGCAGTAGCTGGTGAGGCAGGAGTTAGAACATGAGCCCAAAGGAGAGGTTTTACCAGGGGATGGACTTGAGCATGTTGATAGGCAAGAACCCCGGCTGAATAGAAGAGAGAATGGATAATGGCAAGTTAAAAGTACTCGGGAGGCAGGAAGGAAAAGGATCCCAAGCACTGGAGGAACCAGCGCTGGGAGGGGAAGCACTGCTCTCTGCTCCCGGTTGGGAAGCAGAGTCTGGGTGAATTTTTCTGATCCCTGCAATATTCTCCATGTATTAGTGGACACAGGGCGCTTGCCGGGCATTGTCAAGGTCTCGCTGCTGGTTACAGTACATTTATAGGAGCCTTATTTGCCCAGTGACTTTTTTTCTGCCAGCAATGCTGCTTTTGGGTGCTGGTGGAACATCGAAAATAGAAAATAGGGTTTTTCCAAAGTGGGGATTTTATCACATAGGTGTCAATTAAACGGGAGGGGGTGGAGGTGGGGGCAAGGGAATTTATAGGTATTAGCAACCATGTTATTAAAATTATGGGTTATAAAATTTAAATCAGATTAGGAATAAAGTGAGTAAAAGGAGAAGGCTGATGGATTGGAAGAAAGGAAACAGGTCAGCGTCCTGGTGTGGCTGATGAGGTCACAACACAGCCAAAGAGAAGTGGGAACCAGTTGGCTGGGAGGACAGAAGGTCAAGGTCAAGAATGCTGCAATTAGTGATTCTGGAGAGAAGCAATTTTGGGTGAGTATGGGAGTGTGTGGCTGGGGAGGACGGAAGGCATGTAGAAGCCTGCCGCTAGCATGATTTTCCAGGTGTACCCCGAGGTCACCTAAGGTGACGACGGCAGGGCACACCAGTGAGGAAGGCGGAGTAAGATGCTAAAGTCTTAACAACCACCTTTAATTCTACAATACATCCCCCCTTAGCCATTGATGCATTTTTAAAAATATATATTTTTTATTGATTTTTTACAGAGAGCAAGGGAGAGGGATAGAGAGTTAGAAACATCAATGAGAGAAACATCGATGAGCTGCCTCCTGCACACCCCCTACTGGGTTTGTGCCTGCAACCAAGGTACATGCCCTTACTGGAATCGAACCTGGGACCCTTCAGTTCGCAGGCCAACACTCTATCCACTGAGCCAAACCAGTTAGGGCCATTGATGCATTTTTTTTCCTTTCTAGCCATACAACAGTGTTATTTCAGGAAACCGAAACCATGACAAAGGGAGAAAAATGACCCATTACTTAGCACACTTCCGTTATGTTGCCTGGGCTTAAGCCCCATTGGTCCTGTTAAGCGTTTGCATTCTATTGCCAGCAGGGTTGTCTGGAGTTCTTTCTAGTCCACATGCTTCATGTCTGTGACGGGTGATACAGCTTCCTTCTTTGCTGCCTCTGCAGTAATCTCCTTGTGGAACTCCTTGAGGATTTCAAATTGGCCAGGTCTGATATGGATGTGCGGCCGGATCTTGGCGATGGCTCGTACAGCCTCCTCGGGGCTCCAGCTGTGCACCTGGATCAGATACGCGGCCACCATAGTGGCGCTTCGGGAGCGCCCGGCCTTACAATGCACGTAGACGCTCCGGCCCAGGGACTGGTACTTGAGAGCAAACTGAACTCCTTTCTGCAGGTTAGCCAAGGTTGGGATTCCAGTCATGTCTATTGTGCTGAGTCGCAGCTGCTCGACTTCTACTTGCCTCCACTCCTGGGCGGAGTTGCACAGGAGTCTGGTCTCATACTCCTCGTTCATGGTGATCACCCCGCGCACGTCCTCGTCCTCCACCAGCCGGCGCGTCATGCTCCGCAGCGGCAGCGCGCCCAGC